TGCTTTGTTGTTCTGCCTCGCGAGGTTCCCTTTTTGCTAGCTTGCCGTCTAACGGCTTTCAGGCAGTAGTGACAGAATTGTAAGTGCTTCACGGGCGTGCTGTCCCGTAACTAACCCGGGACTGTTTCCAAAGGCCAGCGTCGGCCATTCTGAGTAAGTGATGGGGGGTGGGGGTGGTGGAAATCGTAATGGAGGATCACGAGTTAAAACAGGCTAATGTCTACTTTTCCATAGCGTGTGAGTTCGTATAGGAGCGCTACGGAAAGTCACATGTGCGGGCGGCAGGGGCTCATCGTGCACCAGTCTAGACTTGAACTGACGCTTCAGTTCTTTTTCCTTCTGACACCGTGGGTGGCTTTTAAAAGCGCTGTTGGGTTTATCTGCAAACGTATCCTTTCCTCTTACAGTATCGCCTCCTGGGCCCTGCCCTCTTCGGCTTGGCAACGCTCTTCGGTGCCGCCTTTTTGGGCTTGGCAGCCTTAGTCACCTCTTTGGGGCTTTTGGCCGTGGCGGCCGCCGGCTTCTTAGGGCTCTTTGCCGCTGCCTTGGCCTTCTTGAGCGTGGGAGACCCTTGCGCTCCTTGGAGGTGGTCACGGCCTCAGCGATCAGCTCGGTGGCGCTGGGGCCCGCGGGCTTTGGAGCCGCCCGCCGCCGCCTTCGGCTTCGTGGATAGTGGGGGCCGGAGCGGCGGGCAGAGCCTCGGACGTGGTCAGAGACAGGTTTCAAAAAGGGAGGGGGACTGTCAGGGGGGTATAAATAAAGATAATCAGCGAGAGGTTGGTATTTATAGGGAGGAGCCTCTCCTCCATTGGTGCCTCGGGGAGTCCGCCCTGCTGGAAGACGGCAAAGGCTCCTCTCCCCTTTGTGTTTCCTCGGAACAGATTAATTTTTTTTGTTCCACTGTAAGGGACACCGCATTCCCTCCTTTGTTAGGCAGATATAGATAAAACAGGCTTTTGTTTCTTTTTTCATTCAGTAGTGTTTTATGCGGAAGAAAACAAAACTGCCCGAAGAGGAGCCAGGAATGCGCCGCCGGGAGCTGGGAGTTTCCGAATGAGGCTGCCTGAGGGCTGGGAGGGTGTTTTCTTTGTTCTTTAAAAGTGCCCCTTGAGAAACAAGGAGAGGAAAACTGTGCTGCTTTTTGCAGCGTCCTCCCTCAGGAGGCAGAGGAGTGAGTCATTGCGGCAATGTGTTAATCGAAAATGTTTTTCAAGCAGAGGGAGGTAACACAGGAGTACCCGGCTGCAGTGTTGCTTGGAAACAAGATGAGAATCGCGGGGCTGGTTTTAAACAATACTTGCTTCTTACACAATCTTCAAGTGGGGTGGTTTGGTTTTTTTCCCTCGAAATGGGCAGAGGATTTTTTTTTTCCTTTTTATCAGCCCTGTCTTGTTGAAAGAAATAGTACTAGGTATTGATCATCTACTACTCAGAGATGGACTTTTTCAGCATGGCTACTAATGTTTAGGCTTAGAACTAGGTTTAAAACATTTGAGGATTATTTTTTGTTTAATAATCTCAGTTTCTTTTATGTAGTATATTAAGTAAAATAACCTTCTATTAGTGGATATTTAGTACGGGGGGAAGAGATTGCGCAGATCTGAAGCAGAGGACTGATTTGTAGAAGGTCCTGATTGGGCCATTTGAAAATCCCATGTTTTGAAAGAGAGGCCTCCTGGGTTTCATTTTTGCCCTCGGAAACACGTTGTGAGGAGGCAGCGTTTCTCTCTTTTCAGGACCAATGTTCACACTGAAGTGCCTGAGAAGGAAGTGGGTCTGTGTTGTTTCTCTTAGAAATTAGGGAAGGAGGGTTTTTTCCCCCACTGATGTTTGAAAAATCACTCGAAAACACAAGCATTCTAACATTTTTATTTTCAAATGAGATATGGACAGATTGAAATCTAGACTAAAGTATCTTTTTCTATTATCTTCCCTAGAAACTAGTTACATTCAGTAATGGTAAATCACAAAAGTTACCATTTTGCGCTCTGCCTTTCTAGCCATGTCTCCCC